TGGTTTCCACGAAAGACATATTTAAGACATATTTTGTATAATTCTTAATCTTTTTGAAATTATTTTATTGACTATTTTGTTCCAATATTGCTGATTTAAATGAATGCTGAAAAGAATAAAGAAATGTGCTATATTTAATGTCCAAATAGGCGACTTATGGATCCTTTTATTGCTGCTTCAATGACTGTTTTTCATTGTTTAAAACTTGAGTAATACTGATTGTTCAGAGACACGATCACTCAGTCAGCAATAAAATATCCTCATTATTGATCAGTAATGGTCAGATCCACCTTTATTTTGTGATTTATGAATAATGTCTATTGACTTGGGTCACAAAGGTTTGTGAATTTTAAAATATGGGTCCCAAGAAAAAAAAAAAAAGGGAAACACCACTGCTTTAGATTAATTTAAAAAAGTCAGTCTCAATCAGTCCTCTTAAAGATTTGTCTCAAACAAAGGCACTTATGCTATGGTCACTGTCCAGTCAAAAAGATATTTCTGGATGCACAGAATTTATTAGAAAGAAGACGGAAACCATAACCAGCTCTGTGCACATCAGAAACCCACAAAAGGGAAGTCTCCATGTACAGTGACTTCATCGAAACTTCTGACCCACACGACTACATGAGGCTGTAACGTGAACGAGGCCAAACACTGGACAGACTCACCACCCACTGATGAAGAGAAGGATCTGAAGTTTGATCACCACTGTTTCTGCCATTTAATGAAAAAAGTAAGTGAAGTGAGCCGCTTTTCAATACCCCACTGATACCACAAACATTACATCTTCAGGTCATGACCCTGTGTCCTCCTCCTGTATTAAACAAATAAGGTTTGGACCAACTGCAACACAAAACAGAGGCCAGAACACACAGTGGGTCCGAAGAAACGCATCAGTCCCAGTCCAGTGAGCGCAGCCCCACACGCCCCCGCAGAGGCGCAGCTCATTCACTCACAATGATCCAATGAGCGCCGCCGTTTTGATGAATCTGCACAAAACACCAGGCTCATAAAAACCTCCTTTGTCTCCGCTGATTGGATGAAAGAGCGGATTGTTGACGCTAAACTGACTCTGACTTAAACAACGCCAGGTTAAAGGAGGATGTGGAGTGGCACCGAGGAGCTCACGTGTGGGGTGGTCACATGGTACTGACCAGAGTTTAGTCAGGACACAAACGGAATCAGAATCACTTTTATAACTTTATTAAATTAGGGACTTTTTTTGACAGTGTTGTCCAACATAAAACAAGTAATAATAAGTAATAAAGCTATGAAAAAATTAAAATATGGACATACATTAAAGATTTGGTAGACTTTGTGACCTTCCTGAAGTCCATCCATCCTCTTCACATTGTCTCCACTGTCCCCTGATCTTCTCCACTGTCTGCAGATCATCTCCACACTCTCCTGATCTTCTCCACACTCTCCAGATTGTCTTCACTGTCTCCAGATCCTCTCCACTGTCTCCAGATCATCTCCACTGTCTCCTGATCATCTCCACTGTCTCCAGATCGTCTCCTCTGTCTCCAGATTGTCTCCACACTCTCCAATTTGTCTCCTCTGTCTCCAGATCATCTCCTCTGTCTCCAGATCGTCTCCACTGTCTCCTGATCGTCTCCACTGTCTCCAGATCGTCTCCTCTGTCTCCTGATCGTCTCCACTGTCTCCAGATCGTCTCCACATTGTCCAGATCGTCTCCACACTCTCCAGATTGTCTCCTCTGTCTCCTGATCATCTCCTCTGTCTCCAGATCGTCTCCACATTGTCCAGATCGTCTCCACTTTTTCCTGATCTATTGAGCTCTGAGTGATTTTCAGCTGTGTATTATCGTTCTTGTTGCTATGTTTTTGTAGCCCGATCACTTCATGGAAACCGTCTGACCCACAGCATTAGGATTTGTTTGCTCGACGGTAGGCGGGTACTTTTTTATTTAACCAATCGCTGCTATTTGATTGTGACGTGTGTAATGCGCTGCTAATGCTGAGCTGTGAAACCATGACATCAAACTCAAGAGCCTGTCTGGGTCCCTTTTGTGTAACAGATCAACAGTAAACAAATGGATGGATGTAGACGAAGACAGACATTCTGTGATGGCAACGATTCCTGAGATCGAGGATTTAAAGGCGGAACAAAGAGAATGTTTGGTGAATTTTTTTCAAGGGGAAAGACGTTATTGCCCTTCTTCCTATGGGATTTGAAAAAAGCTTATGAGCTCATGACCAAATAGCAGTGATTGGTTAAATACAAAAAGTACCCGCCTACAGTCGAGCGAACGAATCCTAATGCTGCAAGGCCAGACGGTTTCCATGAAGTTAAACCGGCTGGTCAAGGGTCTTGTCAGGGTCAAGAAAAGAAAGTGTAAAGAAGTACTGAAAGCAAAGGGTGGCTATATTAAAATGTTATATGTTATGTTTAACGTACACTACTGGTCAAAAGTTTTAGAACACCACACTTTTTCCAGGTTTTTACTGTTTAGTGTTGACCAAAAGATATTTTAAAATTTTTATTAATGAAAGTGTCCACCTTTCTCATTCTTTTTACAATAGAAATCAAATGCTGTTCAGAAAGTTCTTCCCAAGTCTGTTGCAGAAGTTTCCATAAATGTGTGGCATTTGTAGGTTGCTTCACTTTTCTGTCCAGTTCATCCCAAACCAACTTGATGGGGTTTAAGTCTGGAGACTGTGCTGGACACTCCAGGTTTTCAAGCTTAACATTTTGTTCTTTTTTCCTGAGGTAGTTTTGGCAGAGCTTAGACTCGGGTTTTGTATCTTTTATCTTTTTTAACCTCTCTCTGTTCAGTTCTTACCTTTGTACCATTTCAAGTTCTTCATTGGACTTGCAAGTCTTGAACTGAAAAAAATAACTGGAAGAATTTGTGTGTGTGTAGTGTTTATTTAAAAACTTCATGTGCAGAGTAAAAGAGGAACTGAGAGAAACATCTCATTTACAGATACAGTTTCAGATAAAAATAGCAAGGTGACAAGATTTCAAGAACATGCGTTTCTTTGGTTTGTCACAAGAATTTTAAAATTATTAAAGGCGCTTGGATGATTTTTACTGTGTTCAAAATGAACACAGCTAGTTTATTTTAGACCCTTTGCAGTGCACATTTCCTGACTGTTGAAGGATATAACACTTTTAACATGGTTTCATTTCTACTTTAATCAACATTCCCTGAAGGTGTGAAGCCATCTGAAAGCTCTACGCTATTAGAATCTCTGTTACTCAAGTTCGACTTAGTTTTCATTTTACCATAATCTGACCAGAAAGAGCGGACATAGATGGAACTACAACAGAGGAGATGATTTGAGCTCTTACACAAGTCCCTCAAATATAACTTTCACTTTTTCTTGAGATTTCAGAGTAACTTCAGATATTTACTGCAGTCAGATGTAATGTGTTGGCAGAATAAGGTGGACACACGATGTAGTTTCAGAAGGCTTATCCACATGTGTCTAAGAAAGAAGAAAACTCATTTACACACAATTTATATAACTTTATTTTGCAGACTCAGGGTCCAAACTGTACACAGAAGGACACACACCCCCAGTACACTACATTTATATATAAACCCACCAGCACACACACATACACATGCTCACACGTAAAAAACAAACAAACAAACAAAACAAAAAAAACTACAGTGTCGTAAGGTCCAATAAAATTAAAATACATATAGCTGGTTCTTCCAACATTTCCAGATGTAATAGTAATAATATCAGTCAAGCATGTTATAATTCCATTTCTTTATTCATTTAACCTACTGTATTTTTCGGACAATAAGTTGCACTTTTTTCATGGTTTGGGTGTTTCCTGCGACTTATATATTTAAATCTTCAGACTGACAGCTGCGAGAGGCTCTAGGCTCGTGTGTCAGTATCTTGTATGACTGTTACTCCTGTACTACTATCACTTTACTCTACTGCGCATGTCTCCTGTAGAAAAAAACGCTGTCTTTCTATAAATAGTGAAATATGCAGCCGAAAACGGTAGTCGAGCAGCAGAAAGAAGGTTTGGAGTGAGCGAGAAACTTGTGAGGGACTGACGGAAAGCGGGGATGGAGAACACAGCTTCACGGTAACTGGGCGGGTGCACCATGCAACTTTCCTGGAAGTCACTGGATGAATCAACAAAGCCTGGACTTCAGTGACACTGAAACCATCCTGTTGGGATTCAGAAAGGCTGGAATAATTCTAACTGGAACTGATGCTGAGTCTTAAGACAGCTACACAGAAGATTAAGTGGCGCTCTGTTTACATCATGGATCTATGGTTTACCCCCGGAGGTCGATCAGAAGTGACAACGAGGATGAACAATTCCATGGATTTAGTGATTTGGAGTGAGATCGTGAGTTTGGTGAACTTATGTTGTTTATGCTATAATTATCTGAATAACTGTTAACATGTGACGTTAACAGTCTGTTTTTCTCTATTCTATTGTTTTTACTAGAACTTGCCTTTCATGATGAAATGTTGGTTCCTGGTCTCTGATTTCCCCAAAAAGTGCGACTTAAATATGTTTTTTTCTTCTTCATTGCCCATTTTTTGACTAGTGCGACTTATACTCTGAAGCGACTTATAGTCCGGAAAATACGGTACACATACATTTATACGAGGTTCCTCATTAGAGCCTGGAACGTGGAAATATTTGCAGTCACAAACAAAGCACTAGCACTTTTCCACCTTGGAGTCTTCGGCAGTATTCTGAGAGCATCATTATATGCCACCTTAATCTTATTCATCTTTGCTTTGCTGTAATTACACCATAGTTGAGCTGTGTACAGTGGAGTGCAGTGCGATCTAAAAAGAGTCATTTTGACATTATTTGTACACATATGGAATTTGCGTGCCAGCATATTCACTTGTGAATACAGTTTGCAACACTGACACTGGATGAATGAATGAAAAAAAAAAAATTATATGATCAATATATGCTTTCGCTTAAATCACAATAGCTGTAAATACCATCATATGGCTTCTTAAATATATTACAGACCATGTTCAAAATGTGTATTCTGTCTAGTCTGTTATTATGAGCGTCAATCAAGAGACTGGCGTTACCATCTAATAAACATTAGCGGTCAGTGGGTTGTGGCTGTCGGCAGGTTCGTTGTCACACTCTAACGCTCTCTGAACCTTCTCCCAGAACAGGCCCCTGTGGCTCTGGACCTGGGTCCAGCTCAGATATGTGCGGCTCTTCACCAGCTTCTTCATGCGGTAGAACGGACTCAGCTGATTGGACGAGATCTCCTCCAGAAACAGCAGGATCAGCACGTCCTTCTGCTCATCAAACAGACGGTAACTGCACACAAAAGAGACACGTGAGAATCCAAGGACTGAACCTGGACTAAACCACAACTAAACCAGGACTGGATCAGAACTAGAGCAAATCCAAACTAAGATTAGACTTGGACTATTCCAGGACTCAACCAGGGCCATTCCTGATCCATGGTCTAGCCCAGGACAGATCAAGCTGCAGTGAGTCTGTACCTGGCCATCTGTATCTCCCATGAGCACCACTCGCTCTGCAGGTATCGACGGCTGATCACACACAGAGTCTTCCTGCTGCTGTAGATGGCGTCTGTGATGTTCTCAATGATGGGTTTCCCTGAACACAGCAGAATATGTGAGGTTAGCACATCTCCAGAGGAACACATGGACAGAATCCATCAGGGGAGACTGAGGAGACGCTGTACCTGGCTGGAAGTCGCGGTGGTGCAGACACAGCCTCCATCCCTGGACTCCTTCCAGTTCAGGCAGTAGCTCTCTGTAAACCCAGTCCTCATCGTGAACGTTGTAGGACACAAACGCGTCGTAGATGTAAGGGCAGCCCTGTCTTCTCTTTTTACTGTCGTAGAGAAATGCCAGGAGGAGGTAGAAGCCATAGACCAGCTGCCATCGCAGAAAGTGATAGGTGAAGGAGGACAGAAGAGTGACAAGGACCAAAGCAGAGCTGGAGACGGAGGAGAGGAGCATCTGTACTGAAAAGCATTGACCACTTGGACTTGTTTGTTTCTGATCACCCAGTCTATAAACCCAGCGTTTGAGCAGTTACATGCAAATGGATTTCCAGATAAGTCGAGGTGTTTTAGTGAAGTTAGAGTTTCAAAAACTGTCTCGTTTATTACTAAGAGCTTATTGTCTTTTAAGATCAACTTTTCCACTTTGGTGAGATTAGCGTCACGCAAAAAGTCTAAAGATTGTATGTTGTCGTTTGTCAAGTCCAGAACGTTTAGGTCTTTCAGAGGGTGAAACATCTTAGATGTGTGAGTGAATTGGTCACAGTTGATAAATTGAAGACGTAATAGTTTGGGACTGACAATAAACATGTCATCATCAAAGTCCCTGCAGCAATAATTTTCAAATGACAGAACTCTTAAATTTCTTATGCTGTTAAGAAGGTTTCGTGTCCATGTAAAACAAGAAGTTACATCTACAATGACATTTAACTCATGCAGGGAAGACATATTGAAAGAAAAGTCATTATTTGTTGTTGTATTTAAAGTCGAAAACGAACATAATAAGTTTTTCTAGCTGTTTAAAACTTGTAAAATCCCCAATATAAAAGTAAGACAGTGAGTAAGTCAGAGTTTTTAAATTTGTAAGTCCCTCAAATGCACCATTGTCAACAATGGAATATCTATTTGATTTCAAATTCAGTTCAACAAGAGATTGCATACTTTTAAATGTTCCTTTCTGAAACCATCTAAGGCTATTTTCAGCTGCGTTTAAATGTGTCAGATGAGCCAAAGTAAAACCAAAACTATCCAACTGTAAAGAAATGAAATTATTTTTTCACTTGTAGTATTTTTAAATTCTCGAGACCCTTAAACATACAGCTGTTGAGACTGGAAATTCGATTGGAATTTAAGTTGAGTTCAGATAATGACGTCAAATGTGAAAAGTCTGAACAGTGAAGATCTGTGATAAGGTTTTGTTCAAAGGACAGATATGTGAGAGTGGACATGTTTCTGATCGTGGTTGGTATTTTGGATAATTCATTTGACTCTACTGACAGCCGAGTGAGTTGTTTCATCATACATAGAGAACAATCTGATAAATCACTCATAGAATTCGTTTGTAGATGCAGTTCAGTCAAATTAGTGCAGGACTGTAGGAGAGTTTCATTGAGAATCCGAATAATATTAAGAAATGAATCTAACTTTTGCAAGGTTGGAATTTCACAAGTTAATGGTAACAGGCCTTCAGGAGACTCTAGAGCAGAATATGACAGATACACAGACTCGACTTTATTGACACTTTGAAATATGGATTTATACAACTGAAGGTTTACTTGGATTCCAAACTCCAACTCCACGATCAAACTCCTCACACGTGTCAGGGATCTGTCAGAAACGTCCCAGTCACAATCTGGCATTATTGCTGGCAGTCGCAGCTCATTTAAACTTGGAAACACATTCCCGTGAACTCTAAACCTCTTCAGAGGGTTTGATTGGAGATCCAGCTGAGTAAGGTTTAAAAAATGTGTTGGGAAAAGGTTGGATTCAAATGAGGTTAGCTGGTTAAAATGCAAGCTCAGAGTTTTTATTGCTGGACAATGTGTAACAATGTTAATGATATTGCTGATTTGGACTAAGTTATTTGATCCCATGTCAAGAATCTGCAGTTCTTTCAGAGGCCTAAAGGCATACTGTGAAACAGAATATATTTTGTTTTTGTTTAGGTACAGAGATGTCAGGTTTGACAGCCCTGTAAAAGTGTTGTCAGTCAGGGCTGTGAGTTCATTGAAAGACAACATAATCTCAGTTACAGCAGATAAATCTGAAAAGGCTCCTTCTTCAATGTGTGAGATGTCATTCATCCCCAGGTGTAAAAACTGAAGTCTGGTGAAACCTTTAAAATCAGTCTGTCGGATTCTCTGGATGTCATTGTCAAACACACTCAAAGAAGTGGCTGTTTTGGGGAGACCAGGAGGAACACTGGTTAGTTTATTATGATCACAAACAATTTGACTGTGGTCATCAAAGTCTATGGTGCAGTTTTGTAAAGAGTAAAAGAGTGAAACGTGAGGCTGAAGCAGCAGAGAGAAAAGTGAGAAAAGAAAAGTGCTCTGACTCCTCATCCTGAGCTCCTGTTAGAAACACAAACATCAGTGTGGAACCTTTGACGTGTCGTGGTCATACAGAAGTGCCCCACTGTGTTAAAACTCCATACACCTTCAGTAGAATCATTTGGATAATGTGAGCCCTCCAATTGCCAATCTCTACTGAACTAAAGGTAAAAGAAGCTGTTATCTTGATAACTATCACTTCGTGACATCACAAGGTGGAGCAGAGCATTTTGAGTTTTGGAGATGTAAACAGACCAATAATCCAGGATTATTCAAACATGTGAATGAAATAACTCACATTTCCATTTTCTGATGAGGTAACAACATTATAACAACATTATAACACTTAAATCTCTAAAGAGTCAATGTGCATAATAGAGGAACTTTAAAATAATTACTTAAGATAGATTTTACAGTATTGTGAATATTTTTACCATTTGTAGCTTTCAAATAAACACACAGCTAACATTGGTTATTGGTAAAAACTATCAAGATGATGGGGCAATAAAGCTACACATTTCTTTTTGTAAATATGACTATATTACTCATCTGCTCTTCTTGAAGTCGTTTTGTTATTGACAAGCAGTCGTCCAAAAACCAGCTCCAAATGGACAGAACTAAAGCCTTAATTGAACTGTAATATTACTTTTGCTTTTTTCCAGATAAAACATGAGGTCAGGAATAAAAACTGTACTGGCTTCATCACAGCTTTAAGATATTCGACCCATCCTTCAACGGATGCTTAACACTGACCTTTCAGTAACTTTAGTTATACACAGTTGGTTCTTCATCTATGGTTAATGAAAGTACTCTTGAAGCCGCTACTCACCTTTGCGTCTCCACAGCCAGGATGAAGTGTCAGTGTCCACTCCAACGAACAAAGGGTATAGTGTCTCTTCTCGTTTTTAGTTAGACATTTGGAGTTGAAAGCAGAAGTGCTCCTGTCCCTTAACTTTAATAAACTCAACAGTATCTTCAATGAAAATATAATCAAACATTCAGGGATGTTAGGTTTTATTTTTGAGAAAACAAGTGCAATTTTTGAAACCAGTTACCAATAAAAATATATTTGTTTTATTGCCATTGCATTATTGTATTTCCCTCTGTCTGTTAAACAGCTCCTGGATGGAGTAGCTAAACAAGCCAGAGCTTTTGCCATTCAGAAGATAAGAGCTGTTATGTAAAACTTGCGTTGCGCTGCTGCTGTGGCAACCTGTCAGGAACAGACTGGCACCACAGAACCACACCCAGAGACCCAGCTCCACGGTCTTGTTGCTGTTTGGTCAGGACTATCTTATCTTTAACTCAGTTCTGTTTCATGTGCAGCATTGACCTTTCAGTGTCTTAAGTTTTACACAGTTGGTTCCTCATCTATGACTAATGCAAATACGCTCAAAGACACAAACCCAGTTTCACTTCTCCAAAAGCTGAAAGTGCTGTTATAACATTGAGAACTAGCAAAAAGTCAGATTTAAAAAACAGTTCAGTGTCATTGAACCTGATGATTTCCATTAAACTAGTGAAAGGGCAATATGTTCATATCTTTAAAACCCATTTCTGCCCTCGTAAAAATCTGCTGGGGCCCAGTATGAAAAGGCCCAGTCCATGTACTGTGCAGTGCCAAGCTCATATAACAACTAGAGGAGCACCCTGCTCCAGCTCAGCTCACAATACAGACCACACTGTACATAGGTACAGATTATAGGTACAGGTGACCTACAGTGATGCAACATGGGTCCACTGTAACCAGCGAGTCAGATGGCACAAGTTGGTGCCATAAATAAAAGAATATTTTCGGCCTACAGTGGGATTAATTCTATAGACACCCTGAAAATCAAAGTGAAATAATGATGTGGCAGGCTAGTCCATTTAGCCAGAATTTAATTTCTGCAACTCTAAATTTCTTTCTGTCTCTTTCACGTCTATCACAGTTGTTCAGGGGGAACCTGCTCTTGTCTCTGAAAAGCACAGGGCACCAGTGCCGGACTTGCCAATTCTGGTGTCCTTTAGCAAATGTCAGTGGAGCTCCACCGTGGTGGGTGGTGTGCACTGGCCCACTACAGGACATGGCACCCCCAAGCCACCGTCATGAAGTCTGTTTCTGATTGTTTGGGCAGAGACATTCACTCCAGTGTCTGGAGGTTATTCTGCAGGGCACAGGCCTGTTCCTCTTTGCACAAAGGAGCAGATATGGGTCCTGCTGGTGGGTTCAGGATCTTCCACGTCCCTGTCCAGCTCTCCTGGAGTAATCACCTTACTCCTGAAATCTCCTCCATGAGATTGTGTTTTGAGACACGTTAAATCTACGTGGCATCCTGGAGATGTTGGCCAATCTGTGCAGCTTCTGTAGGGTTAGTGAACGGCCTCATACTCCCAGTCGTAATAATCACTGTAGCCAAAGCAGCACTAGAGGAAAAGCAGCCAAAAAACACCAAGAGGGAGAAACTTGAAATGACCTCCACATGCAAAACCAGTCCTGTTTTAGGGCCTGTCTCATTGTTGCCTCTAGTGCACCTGTTGTTCATTTCCATTGAAAGAGAGGCTTCCTTTTGTTCCTAAGACATTGCCCTGTCCAGATTTGTATATTTTTTTTGTTTTCACATTGAGATCTGATGTGTTTTCCTTTAACGTTTTGATCAGTATATTATAATAACAAAGAGAAAAAATGTAAGTGGTAATAATGAATTCAAAATAAGAAGCAAAAATAGCAAGAGACTGGAGTCAAGTAAGTTATGATTATAAAATGTTTATGCACAAGTAAAAATGTTAAATAATACAAATACTGTATGTCTCAGCTATATACAGGAAGTTGTAAGGAGGAACAGTACAAAGATGAAATAATGATAGGACATAGTATTATCTGTTACACAAGGGTGAGTTGTTGAACAGCTGTAGGGAGTATTATGTTACATGAAGATGAGTCATTGTATGGAGATTAAAACACCTGTATTAATAAATGACATCACAAGGTGAAACAGAGTTTACCCTTTGAAAGAACCTAAGTAAACAGGAGTTGTGTGAATGAAAGAAAAAGAA